TCTGATACTGTCAACCGCTTGAGTGTTAACCTTGTGTAAAGTCAACAATTTGGGGCTAAATCCCAAGATGAATTCATTTAAGAAGAGATATTTAGGGCCTGAGCTAGAGGTGTATGCAACGATTTTAGAGAGTCTTGGTGTTCGCACCTCCAATTACTTTGTTCACCCATTATCTCTTGTTTTGGTGACAATTTAGAATTATACTCACTGAAATTGAGATAACATCTTGTTATCGGGGCAAATGTAAGTAAAGTAGATGAAAGGGGGGGGGGGGTGTTCAAAGGCCCAGGCAGTGGGATCAAGTGTCGCTTGTCCGGTCGGCAAGAAGTGGTCAAAACTTCACACCTCTCAACTGCTATTCTCTCTGACAATGACATGCGTCAGTCTTATAACTTATCTAATTACCACCAGTGCATGCATTTCATAGGAACCATTGTTTGACCTATTAAAAACAGAAACCTTTGAACATCTCCTTTGCTTCCATCCTTAACCGCACCCATTGGTGTAATAAGCACAGCCAACCAATGCCACCCCTCCCTGCCATGTAGCAACGGGTCGAGGAACTTTTTTATTGGCTGGCCGCACAATCAGAGCGGCAGGCATTGGTCAAACTGATTTCACACCTCTGGCCTCTGGCTAACCAGGAAAGTTTCCGTGGCGGCTTGCTACTCGAGCACTTTCACTGGCACTCGAGAGATTTCACACCCACACCACCCTGACCATCTTCATCGCTCAGGGTTCACAGAGATGGGGTAACATCTACCCCCAAATTGCACCCCCACTCCCCTTCCTCAACTGGCGGCATTAAGTTTAGAGCCAGCAGAACCAAACTTGCCAGTTTTGTTTCAAATCGGGGCTGAGCAGGCAAAGCATTTTCTGTCTAATACCGGTAAAACCCGTGTTGGACAGGTTTCCGTTTTGTACAGGTGATTAAAGAGGGATATATCAAGGGGGAATAGGGAGATTCTGTTAAAGACAAGTTTCCGTTTTACACGAGATTCCGTTAAGGAAAGTTTGACTGTACTTAGATTTATATAACTCTTTCCGAGACAAATTAGGGGGGGGGGAGAGAAAGAGAGTACTTTTAGCATCATATTTTTTTTAAATTTTGTTTTCATGACTGATATTTTATGTTGTGACATTACTATTTTTTACTTGGTATTATTCAGCGCGTTTTTATTTGATCCATTTTTCTAAAACCATTCGCAGGGATTATTTCTATACATACCTGTCACTGCCTATATCCCTGTATTCATATCTACCTATACATTAATACACAAATTTGTGTCATTTTAAGTGCCCTGGTGCATGAATGCTGTATGTATTTTTATGTCATTGTAGGCTATTAATTTGTCCTTTTAAGAGAATTGAGCATTGTAAATTATGGAAATTTGCTAAACAAACGACATGTATTATTATTACATAGGTGCAAAGCCCTCAGGTTGGAACAAATTAAACAAAGTTATAGAGAAAAAGAAGGACTGTTCATTTTCAAAATATGCAGCATATTTTTTTATATCGCACCGGTAATATCTACAAAACAAAACCAACAAAAAAACAGATTTTGTTCCTGTTGTAGGGGGGTACCAAGAGTATCAGCATTTTGCCTTCTCAGTGTAAGACTGTCATTATATTTCTTTTTTCAAAATGGCGTAAAGCAGAGCTGTACACAAGCAGTCAATTTGTGGTGAACTGATGAGATCTATGGACACTGTAAGCAGAAGACAAGGTTTAGATTCCCTTCTGAAAGTAAAATCATCTACTATGTTTATTTATCTACCAAGACGCGGATTCCAACTCACCTACAGTTGGCCATGACAGGATGGCTGAAATAGCCTGTCTCCTATCTTTTCTAAATTGTTTTGAGTGTGGTTTAACCCCTTGACTGCTAACCATAAGTCTACCACGTGTGCTAATGAAATTTCCACAGTGGGGGTGTATGACATGGTCTGCTTTTGAGTGGTAATAGCTCGCTTACTATAAGCACTAAATATAGAAAAGTGTATATCATATAAAGAGAAATGAACGAACAATCTATTGGTATAAATCAGTTTTAGGTAATTCTGGAAAAGAATTTGGCAGGTAAAAGTGAGATTTTTAAAAAAAATTCAATCTCCGTATTCGAGATCACTGTCATCTTGGAGATGATGACAAAAATCTCTTCAGATGAACTGAAATCTTCGTCATCATTGTCTGCATCTTGATAAATTTCTGCAATAATCTGATCTGTAGGCCTAGTCAACCTATGCGAAGCCATCACGGCAAATGTAGACTGCACGAAAGAACTGTAGAGAGGCAGACTGACTTCATAGTTCGAGTGCAACACAGTACACACCACGTCGCTTTGTTTTAGATTATGGGGATGTCGAAGATATACATGAAACAAAACAGGTTTTATTTTTTATGCCCCAAGAGCAGGCAAGGAGGGGTTAACAGATTTCAAATCCTTTTTGGTGTGTGTGTGCGTGTGTATGTGAGCATGTTTCCTTTAACTCACCGGGTCTCCTTCAATGTCCGCGATGTTGTGAGAAGTTGGTCCTTTGATCATATCATCCCAGGGGTCAGGAGTCGGTTCAAGCTGCAGACAAAAATAGCAAGAGGTAAAAAAAAAGTTTAACAAAGTGAAAACTAACCCTCAACCCAAAACACATAGACTGCCACAAAGTAAGGCTACATCCTACAGCACTTTTCAAAATGGCATAATCATAATATGATATTATGGCAGAGTCTTACACCAAGCAGTTGGCATCTGCATTCCTCTTTTCGTTTGTAAAGGTTGTGAATGTGTTACAAACCCATTGACACATTCAGATCATTTGGGAGATCAGTTGCTTCAACCCTGCCTGTCAAGGCCACGCCCCAAGCTGAGTGAGATACAGTATTCCTGCAGAAAGACTGAGATGAAACAGACTTCTGGTCTTGGGAATCACACTCACGTCTTCTGTGAGCAACAGTTCAGAGCAGAACCATTACACCACAGACACTGATCTCTTGAATATTGTTTGTTATGGTAAAATAGACCCACATACATCAACGTAATGATGGTAATTTAGTGTTTGAAAACAGTACCCACATTTTGTCCTTTTAAGAAACCTCTACTGTAACAGCACACAAAAATGCGCACATATCAAATAAATACAATCATAAAAATCATGAAAAGAAAAATCAATGCACCAAAAATCGATTAAAATTTTTGATAGATTAACAATTTACTATGAACAAAAGATCAATTACTAAACTCATACAATAAAAACAACAATGAAGTTCACCAAAGTTCAGACCCTTGCCTCAGGACACAGTAATCTTACTAAAGGGTCCACCCACAGATTAGCATTTGATGAGGCTTCCAAAAGGATTTGAGTTCCATACTGTCTTTTAAAAAACCCAACCAGCATGTAACAAGTAGAAACAGTTTACAAGTCTGGCTAAAGCTGTTTTCTACATTAGTTTGGCACCAGTATTTTAATATTTGACTAATTTGAAAATAATCATTGTCATTGTACACTTAGAGCAGAAGTTATAGCTTATTGCAGGGCATTTTTTTTTCAAATTTGAGACACAATATGATGTCGCTTTAAACAGTGTGCCAGGTTTTGCACTCAAACGACAAAGTAAATGTATTCGCTCACCTTTAGCCTTATGACATAAGGAGTCCCTTTCGACATTAACTCTTGCACCTTTTCTTGGCTGAGAGACCTGCAGCGGTTGTCATACTTCGACGGCTCTCCTCGCCGTGCAGCTTCTTTTTTCATCAGCTCAAGGCGTCGTGCCGTGCAGAAACAAGGGTAAGCCCAGCCATTGCGGAGCAGTGTCTTCACGTTGCTGTGGTAGATGTGAAGCCGCTCCGACTGGTTACAAGGAACAAAAATGAGAACATATATATAAATATAATGATAATATACAGATGTAGAAAATATTTTTATCTAAAATTCATCATCATATGCATGTATCCTCTACTTTCAAGAAGAAAACACTAAACGAAATAGTTTTATCATATATATTATTATCTCTACAAATTATAAAAACAGTTTGTGTATATTATTATGGAGGCTCGCAGGAGCTTCCATGTTCCTGACACTTAAATTCTATTAAGGGTAAACAGTTTCTCACTGAAATCTAGACCAACGCTGATCAACTTTGTAGCCAGCACCCACATTTGCCACCCTTAAGAGGCTAAAACTTTTGTACCACCCACCTACCAGTGTCAATTATGACTTTACCTATATTATCTTGCCTTCACTCTCCTTCTCAAACTTAGACCCACTCTTCATTATCGATCAAATTTTTCTTGCACATCTTCAGAAGTTTGAACCTTAATTCTGCATCATCAATTATTATATATCCAGTCCATACACATCACATTCAGTTTAAAATACAAATATTACAACAGAACAACACAAACAGCAAACACAAACTATGTTAGACCTTGAGTGGACAAATAATCTCCATAAAGTGTCCAAAACTTCAATTCTGTTACACAAAGGCTGATATATTCGAGTAATATAAATACAGTCAAACCTGTGTAAGACTACCACCCATTGTTGAGAAGAAAAGTGGCCATATAAGACAGGTGGCCGTCTTAGGCAGGACTGATCAAGATGAAGAAAACAAACTATTCCCATCTGAGGTCCCAATCGAAAGTAGATGCATTTTTGGTGTGTGTGTTGTTGTTTTGTTTGTTGTTGTAACTGGTTTGTATTTCGTTTGTTAATTTTATTTTGTTGCTGATTTTGCTCAAGGGTGACAATAAAACGAAATGTATCAGA